GACGCACCATCACCATCAGCGCCGTGCAAACAACAAGCCACTTCTTGTCGGGATCGCCGGAATGTTGACACCGAAGCGGACCGAGTCTGTCAGGACCGATGCTCCGATCGATCGGGTCGATATGGATCGGATACTTACAGGGTCGGGCTTATGGGTAATGTCAGCTTTTGATTAACAAATGATCGACCCCCCCTGGGGCCGATGCAGGGCGCGAAACAATGTGTTGAATCACGCGCGCCAGGGGGTCGTCGCTCGAGCAAGGGAACCATTTCTTAAATAACGCGTCCCGCTTGTTCTTGTTAACCACCAACCGACATTCTCGGGGGGGCTTGCTTGCTGCGCTAGGCAGACAGAGCTTGGCGCGCGGGATTGCCGGAATGTTGGAACCGAAGCACTTCGAGTCTGCCCGAAGTATCGGGGAGGGGGGGCTGGCTGCGGATCTCTGCTTAGTGCGACTGTTTGGAACGATGCGTCCACGGGGAATCCTATGGGGAGGCGGGGCCCCCGTGCTTACTCCACCGACTTGAAACAGGCGCCAAAAACAGCCAAGCTCTACTCCATGGGTTATCTTGCTCTCATCGTACTTAAAGACCACATCCCATAGAATTTCGAGCACCCGGAAAAGTATCGAAACAGTGTCGAAACAGTGTCGGGCGAGCGTCACCCAGGGCCCGACACGTGAAAGCCCTCCAATTTCGGTGCTTTTTCGGTGCTCGAGATTCTATATGGTGACCAAGGCTAAAAGTAGGCTGGAACATCCTAATCCATGGAGGGGAGGGATACGAGGGCCTGCGCTGATCGGCAAGACAATGAAAAGGGAAACGATCACGTAATGGGTATCGGGGCTGAACATAAACGCTGCTTTTCGTGTTCGTTTTGCCTTCGTTTTCCCCCGTCTTGTCTTCCATCCGCCTTTACCGCAACACGAAATCGCAAAAGCGTCGTTTAGGTCCACCCCTGATGGGTATCGGGGGGGGCTTGCTTGCTGCGCGCGCCCACGCGTAGCATCGCCGCGCGCTCCCGGTGCTTGGAGCGGCTCGCGTACGACAGCGGCGTCTGGTCCGCCCGGTCGGTGGCCTCCGCGCGCGCGGCCCCGTCGGGGCGGGGCGCGCGACGTCTCTCGCCGCCGTCGTCGTCGTCGCTGTCGTCGTCGTCATCGTCGACGCTGCACGCGGCTGTCCTGATGGGGGAACGTTAGCCCGAGGTTTCGAGTATCGAAGTCGCAGTTTTCGAAGTTAGAGGGGTTCGACGTTCTCGAAGTTTTCGTGAGCCCGAGATTAGGGGTATCGAAGCTTCAAGTGTCGAGGTTGTCCGACGAGATCGTCCTGGGACGCACAAGGACATAGTGGTATATCGTTTCCCGATCGGGATGGCGAGAAAGCGCCCACAGCGGAGCTTATACCACCAGATTTCTCGGAGCGCGCGTCGCCCCGAGGGGGGGAGGGGGGTACACATAGCATTAGTATGCTGAAGTGATGCCAACGTCCGTTCTCGCTGGCTTTCCAGCTTCGGGATGCCTTCTGTCGGCTGCGCCTCGCCGAGAGCGTTCCGGGTCGTCCCGAACGGCCGGCAGAGGCTCGTGTTAGGACCCGAAACCACCAAAGGACTAGCTCAAGGTGGGGAGGAGCACTGAGCCGCTCAGAATCGGCGATGTATCGCCGATGAACTTGCGAGAGGTCCCCAGTGGCGAAACTGCACAGTCCTGGGCGACGTGGGTTACGGGGCCCCTATCGGCGCAGAATGGGCAGATGCGATCCCCCCTGAGCCTACCCCCCCCCAAACCAAAAAATCGCCCCTGATGTCCGTATGCGTCGGCCTAACCCTCCAGAACATTTGAGAACCCGTCGTCGTCTGGCGAAGATCTGACGCATCCTGCACCGCGCAGTGAGGAGATTCAGCGCGTCAGTGTTCCATCTAAGCTCTGCTGGACCCTGCCAGGTCCTGCTACTTCCTGCCAAATCCTGCAACGTGCTGCTGAGTCCTTGAGGGGGGATGGTAGGGAAACAGGCTCAGGGGGGGATCGAGCTGGAAACGGCGATGCATCGCCGATAGATCGGCTATATGTCCTCCCCGATAGCCGAACCGAACGGTCCTGGGCGAGCTTGGCTATCGGGGCCCAATCGGCGATGAATTGGCGATTCTGGGTCGTTGCGTCCACCCCTGAATCCACCCCCCTACGTTGCCCCTGATCCTGAACAATTAAGAACCCCCCCTCATCCACCAGAGATGTGACGAATCCTGCACCGCGCGGTGATGATGCTCCGCGCGCCAGTGTTCACTCGGAGATTAGCTCTGCTAGGTCTTGCCAAATCCTGCCATATTATGCAAGGTCCTGGCGAATCACGTAAAGAATTGTAAAATCCTGCTGCAGCCAGCGCCCATGAGAGGAGTCCTGTAGGCGCGCCACAGGACGCCAACAGGACTCCCATGGGAATCCTAGTGGAGTCCTGGCAACTTCCATGGGAGTCCAGCAAGACACAGATATAACTCCGTCATTGATGCCTCGCACTAGACTGTATATTCGATTTCAGATGTCGGTGTTCTTGCCGCCGCTCGGACGTCCATTCCCCGTGCATGTTTTGCTTTTGTGCGTGTTTTTCCCTCGATGATCCAGGATGCTCCTCGATGGTCCTCGCCGAGGAAGCATGCACACGTCCGAGCGACGACAAGTCTTCACGATGCCCCCGTGGGGTCAATGTCGGAAGGCGTCGTGCCGCCGTGGAGTGCCCACATGCAAACCAAAAACAATAACAACTCGAGACGTATATCACATCCCGAGCGGAATCCCGTAATATGCAACTTCCGCACGTTTCTTGTAGCGGTACAGTGCGGGCGCAGCCGCAAGAAAACTTCGCAAGAAATCCAACCCTGAGAACCCGCGCGCGAAGTGCACCTGATGGGAAACCTGGAGCACCCTGAATGCAGCAGCTCCTTCAACGGCTGCGGGAAGTCACCGCGCAGCGCGAGGAGCGAAGGCACCAAGGATACCCTGACGAAAAGCATCCGGTTTCTTGATGTGCGCCCCCACTAGATGCTTTGTTCCATTTGATCTATTTGGGGTGTCTTTTAGTGCTGGGTAGTTTGCCCCACGTGGCATGGAACATCCTTGCACTTTCTCCGTCTATGACTTCTTTTTCTGAGTGGTTCGTCTGGGTCCCCTGGTGATCTCTTCTTATAGATCGTCGGTTACATGATGTTTCCCTTTGCATTGCTCGCATCTGCATTGAACCGCCCTGCGCGTGCGCGAAATTTCTTGTCCGTGCGATCTGGTGATGATAAAATCGCCCAGCGCAACCCGTCCTCCAAATCAATTATGCGGGGTGATCAACATATGTTGATAGGGGTGTTGATCAGATTTTGCAAAATTAATGCTGCCACTGCTGACCATCACATTTCTATCCACCTCTGGCTGGGTCCCTGCAACCTTTTGTCTGCTCTGTCTATGACCACGCTGGCCCCATCTCTGTATAAATGTTAGCGAATGTAAAACCTAAACATTTCATGCGCTTGAATGTGCAAGGTCTGTGGAGTGAGCTATGTGGTGCAAGCTATGTGGTCTACGCTGTGTGGTGCACGCTGTGGTGTAAACTATTGGCTGCCGGCGAAACCTCGCCGGACCCCCAATCGGCAGCAACGAGGCGGCAACAAAGCAAGCACGGGCGGCGACACGGCGAAACCTCGCCGACCCACACAACGCACGAGGCGGCCACGAAACGGCCACGGGCGGCAACACGGAAAATTATCCTCGGACCCAGAGAGCTAAGAAATCCGAAATGCAACCGCTGTGAGGGAATCATCTAGGTCTCTCTGTCAGTGTTGTTGTCTTTTTTTTTTTCTCTCTCTCTCTCTCTCCCTTCGTATATACGTATGCATTGTTCAGTGTGTCGTTATCTCTTTCACTGTATATGTGTATCTCTCTCTCTCTCTCCCTCTCCCTCTCTCTCTCTCTCTTTCTTTCTATGTATAGAGATTCCCCTTCTCTACATATCAGATGCATGTTCGCATATGAATGTACGTACGTGTGTGGGTGAAACACCTCACTCAATCTTACCATATTATGGTAATTTCTCTACTTGCGCAGATACGTACAACACACATTCAGTTACATGCATGCACATGTATATAACCTATAAGATCATAGAAACACTTGCGCGTTACGCGCGCGCTGAGGTTCCAGCCGAACTCGACGAGGGAATGAGGTCCCATGGCGTCTTCGCGAACAAACGGAGACTCTATCATCATCTCGCCCGAACTCCAACACCCCAGCCCGAACACCCGAACTCTGACGCCCTAGCGCCCGAACGCTGCAACCCGAACCCTGATTCCCACGCCCCTACACTCGAACTTTGACACCCTGACCCGAACAACCTACCCCGACTATCCAACCCAGAAATCCGAACTGCAACACCCAACCCCAGCGCCCCTACTGCACCGCAGCCCTACACCCGACCACCTTGACAAAAACAGCCTAACCCCCATACCCGAACGCGACTACACAAACCAAAACACCATCACCGCGTGTCGAAAACTTCTGATTCTTTTGGTTATCCAGCCTTCGTCCGGACCCACTGACCGCTGGAAAGCGGTGTCGCATTTCTTAGCCCGCTGGTCTTCCAACGCAAGAAGGCCGCAAGGAGACATCCAAGACGGCCACGACGTCTCCCAAGAAAAATCACATGAAGAATCATCCAAAATGTCTCCAATGCGGCAGAATATGCACCCGTGATGCCCCAAGATGGGCCCCAGATGGCCCAGCACGGCCTGGGGGCCTCAAATAGGCCTACAGGAGGGCCCTCACCCGGGCAAGTTCACATATTATCCGTCTGTGTTTCAATAATTTTAGCGGCCTAGCCTTCTCGGGCTTTCGACGGGGCTTAGAACCTCAGAAATGATCCACGGTGGCCTCTGGAATTCGAAGGCCAGCACGTGGCCCCCTTTCCTCGTCCCCGCTCTTCTCCCTCCCCCCCCCGCCGATTCGGAGAGGGGCCCCTCCTTCCGAGGGCTCGGCGAGGCTCGAGGTCACTGGCTTCGCCGAGTCCCGCCCGGAGGAGCAGCAGGACGCGAGCCCTGGTGTGGATCCGGGGTCGCGGGCAGCGGTGACTCGGAAGAGCAGGCACGAGGCAGGCACGGGAGCTGTTGGCAAGGCACCTACTCCCTTGGACTAACGACGCCAACCATGTATCACACCAGCTCGGTGCACGCCGCCGCGCGTGGTGGACGCGCAGAAGCGTGCATCGAGCTGGTCTGGTGCACGGTTGGCGCCGGCCAGCTCCTGGATCTCGGGCCGCCTTTTCTGGAGAGAACGGCTGCGACAGAAAACAGGGCTCGTTTGAAAAAGCACCCAGCACCCAGCCCCGAACGCCGGCCGCGGACGGGGGCGCGGCGGGGAGAATGCAAGTCGGGGATCTGCTAACCCGGGTCAATCAGACCCGGGTCAGCAGGAAACCAAAAACTGCAATGCAAGAACACAAAAACTGCAACGCAGGCCTCGCAAACCCGGGTCAACCAATATGCGCGGCCGCCTCGCGGCAACGAGCGGCTCGCTAACCCGGGGTCAGCCAGAGGGGGTCTTCGCAGGATCCTGCAGGATCCGGTGCCCTGGCTGACCCCCGTTTGCATTGACCCCCGTCTCTTAAGCTCCGAGCAAGCACGGCAAGCTACTGCCTTGGCCTGGGCGCCGGTTACCGCCCGGGACGTTCACTCTTCAGCGAGCTCCGCCCTACGAGGTCCCCAGGAGGCCGTCGTCGACGCACCCTGCGTGTCTGCCCCTGCGTGGGCTCGGTGCCCGAAGCTGGCCCCCAGAGGGCGCCGCACCTGGAACGCCCGCGCCAGCACCAACCCTCGAGGGCGCGCAAACATGGATTCGCGATCCACGGCTTTGGCGCGCGGTCGCCCCATCCATGGATCGGGGGAGGTGCCCTCCCCACAATGCTGCCGGTGCCACCTCGCTCGGGGGCGGAAGTCCGCGATGTCCCATGGAAACGGGACCCGTCGCCAATCCAGACCCCCCTGATCCATGTCTGCGATCGCCCGACAGAGGGCGCTGCGCCTGGACTACGTCGCCGATGGATCAGCGATGGGCCCCCGATAGTGACTCCGCACCTCCCCGTGCAGGCTGGGGCTGTTGGGCCCCTATCGGCGATCAGTGGGCGATTCGGGGTCGATGCGTCCCCCTATGCCTGTCCCCCCCCCCCCAATGGTTGCCCCCGAAGGCCATGCTCGCCCGGATGCCATCCGCGTCAGATTTCCAGCTGCGCTCGGCCGTGGGCCCTCCCCCCCGACGCCTCAGCACCCCGCGCGGCGGCAGAGCAGCCAACCTCGATGCCGAAAAGCTCGCCTCGAGGGCGTTCGCGGATAGATTAGCTATGGGCTCCCGATGGCGAAACCAAAAGCTCCTGGGCGGGACTCGGGCGCGAATTAATGGGGGGCGCTCTAGGGAAAAGAGGGGGGGGGGGAAGGTGCCCTCGTCGGACCCTGAAGACCCCCTGTTGGACCCGAAAGGGCCCCTGTAGGGCCCTGACAAACCCGTTTTCTGCAGCCCTCGCTGCCCCCCCGCTTATCGCCCCCCTCGTTACGCGTGGCCCAAGGGGAGGGCGATCAGACTGGCGATGAATGAGCGATTGGCCGTCGATGCGCTCCCCCAGAGGCCATTCTCCCCTGACGCTGCCCCTGAATGGAAGCGGAGAAAGCGCACCCACCGAGAGCAGGAGGAGAGGAGAGGTCCTGGGTCCCGCAGCAGCTCGAGCAAACGGCGCCCAGCTGCCCAGCCCCCCGACGACGTGAAGGCGGCCGTTTGCGGCGTGAGTTGAGGGGGAGGTTATGAGATCAGAAAGAGCGTGATCCACCGCCGCTTTACTGTGGAAAATTGCTACCCTTTACCTCCGGAACCCGGGGTGTCCCCGCCCCTCCCCCCCCCCGAAAATCCCCCCCCCCCCCCCCCTGCTGGACCCCCCCCTTCCTCTCCCGGCACCCCCCCCCCCCTAACCCCCCCCCCCCCCCCCTCGAAAACCGGGGGGGGTCACTACCGGTTCGAACCCCCCCCCCCCCTCGAAAACCGGAGGGGGGGTCACTACCGGTTCGAACCCCCCCCCCACTCACCGCCAGCAAACGACTCCCGGTCCCTACCACCGTCCGCGCCACATCCCCCACTGTTGTTCCCAGCACCACTGTCCTCACCACCACTGTCCCCACTGGTTCCACCACCGTCCCTACTGTCCCCACCAGTGCTCCCACCACTGTCGCACTGTCCCCACTGTCTCCACCACTGTTCCCACCACGGTTCCACTCTCCCCACTTTCTCCACGGCCCCAACCACTGCCCGACTATCCCCACTGTCCCCACTGTCCCACTGACTCCTCCGCTGTCCCACTGAGCTGTCCCACTGTTCCCACCACTGTCCCCACTGTCCCCACCACTGTCCCCACTGCACCTCTGTCCCATTGTCCCACCGCCGTCCTCGCCACCGCCTTCACCACTGTCCCCACCACCACTGTACCCTCCACTGTCCCACTGTTTCCACCTCCCCGTCACCACACCACTGTCCCCACCACCGCCGTCCCCACCACTGTCCACTGTCCCCACTGTTCCCACCATTGTCCTCACCACTGTCCCCACCACTACAGTCCCCACCACTGTCCCACTGTCCCCACCACTGTCCCGCTGTCCCCTCACCACTGTCCCCACCACCACCGTCCCCACCACTGTCCGCACCCCCCCCTTGGTTCTCGAGGAGGGGAGGGGGGGGGGTTCGAACCGTTAGTGACCCCCCCCCCGGTTTTCGAGGGTTCGAACCGGTAGTGACCACCCCCCTTTTCATGATGAACTGGGGGGGGGAGGGGTTCGAACCCGTAAAGACCCCCCCTCGGTTTTCCGGAGGGGGGGGGGGTGAGGGGTTCGAACCGGTAGTGACCCCCCCCGGTTTTCCGCCAGCAGCGGTAGAACACGCTCTTTCCGAGATTACGAGCCCATGGAACGCAAACTAATTGCCCGCGAGCGCTCTGGAGAGGAGAGAAGGCCTCGCCCACCCTCCGTCAAACCTGGAAGCGGAGGATGATCGGGCGTTGGCAGAACTGGGTTTAGTGGGGCCTGGTTTAGGGATGTGTATCGGGGGACGCCCCCCCCCCGCCCCGTAACCGGAACTGCCGTCACCCGAAAAAGCACCAGCTGCGGCAGACCTGGTTTAGTGATTCTGGCAAATTTAAAGGCTCTGGGGCCCTGCAGCTACCCGGGTCCCCTTACCTAGGGTCCTAGCTACACCCGGGAGGAGGCAAAGGAGGGTGGCGGCTCACTCCGCGTCCACGCCGAGCCGGGCGCCGAGGCCCTGCTCCCCCAGCCGCTGCGACTCCATCAGCGTGCTGCCCTGAGCTGCGCCCCGTCGTCGTCGTCGTCGTCGTCGTCGTCGTCGTCGTCGTCGTCGTCGTCGTCGTCGTCACCGGCGACGCCGTCGTCTTCGCCCCCAACTTCTCCCCTAGCCTTGCCATCGCTCGGACGTCCATTCCCGTGCATTTTTCTGTTTCGCGCGTGCAGCATGATCCAAGATGCTCCTCAATGATCCCCGCCGAGAAAAAATGCACAGGTCTCAGCGATACCAAGTGGCCTTCTCGATCCCTCCGTTTCCCTCCGAAGTTGCGTCTGGCGAGCGCCCGCGAGCGCCTCGTTGGCGCCACCGGCGCCGACTGGGCCCACGGAGGTTTCGCCTGTGGGGCGCGCGTGAGCGCCCGCGTGGGGTCAGCAGCAAATCCCATCAGCCCTCTGGGCGTAGGTGGTTTAGGGAGTTTCCTCTTCCATTTTCCCTTCTTCCCCTTCGGGGAGGGGTTTACCCCTCCCCCTAACCCCCTCCCCTGGACCTGGACGGGCCCGGTCGCGAGCGGTCAGAGTGTCCAAGATGGCCCAGGATGGCTCCATGAGCGCCTCGGATAATCCAAGATGACTTCAAAGATGGCTCAAGATAGCCTAAGATGCCGCAAGATGGCTCCGAAGATGCTCCAAGACGCTCTCAGAACGCTCCAAGACAGCTCCAAGAGGCCAATTATCTCCCCAAGGAGGCCCCCCAAGAAGCCAAAATCCTTCAAAAACGTAAAAGAAACCAATGATTCTCGGCTTCTCGCCTTTTCGCTTCCGATGGCCATCTGAGGCCTCAACATGGCTCCAAGAGGGGCCAAGGAGGCCCCAAGAGGGGCCCAAGAGGGCCCCAAGACGGCCCCAAGAGCGCCCAAGAGCGTTCCAAGAACGCCCCAAGAGGGGTCCAGGCGGCTATGCTCCCGAGGGGCAGGGTTAATTAGGGAACCCCCCTTCTTCGATCGATCGCTTCCAAGATGGTCCCAAAGGGCGCCCAGGAGGCCCCCAAAGGCGCCAAGATGGCCCCAAGAGGCCTCCAAGAGGCCCCCAAGAGGGCCCAAAGAGGCCGCCATGAGGCCCCAAGAAACCCCCAAGAGGCTCCCAGGATGGTTCCAAGAGGCCTCCAAGAGGCTCCAAGAGGCCGCCATGAAGCTCCAAAAGACCCCCAAGAGGCCCCAAGAGGCCTCCAACAGGCCCCCAAGAGCTCCCCAAGGGGATCCCAAGCGGCCTCAAGAGGCCCCCCGAAGCACCAAAGACGCCCAAGATCCCCCATCGACCGCCAAGAGACCCCCAAGACGCCCGAAGAGGCTTCCAAAAGGCTTCCACGAGGCATCCGAGCGGCATTCAACCATCCACCCAGCGTCATCATTCTCCTCATCCCTCCTTCGCTCGGTTCCTCGCCACCCCCTCATCTATCCATCTGGCCTCCTCTTCCACCTCATCCTTTGCACGGATCGGCTGTCCCTCTCGTTGCTCCCCCACTTCTCTGATCTCTTCAACTTGCCTGCACATCGTTTCTGGATGGGCTGGTGGGGATACTTTTTGGTCGGACGGCTCGAAGGACAGATCCAGGGAGCGGGATTAACGGCTGGGGCACAGAGCGAGATAATTGGCTGCAGAGGCACGTAGGCCGCACCTGATGGGGATTTTTTGTTTGTACAGCCGCACGCGGAAGCGCCAGCGGCGGCGGGTCACGGTCGGGCTGCGGCCGTGACGAATTCGCCGGGCGCGCGCGGGGGCCACGGACCAGGCGGCGGTGCAAGCTGCAGCCCAGGGAGTCTGAAGGGAAACAGCCACCCAAGAAGCAGGGAGGACGCTGCCAAAATGGCGCGTCGCACACCCCCAGTCAAGGATCGTGTCGGTCCGACGATCACAGGGCAGTGGGGTTCTGACTCCGTGCAAGAAATGCGTCAGTAGCCCAGGGTGTCTGTCGGGTATGAGCGAGACCGTAGGCAAGAGAGCTGACGTCGTCCAGCAGGGAGAAAGGACTCTGACAGCGCCAGCGAACCGTCGCAGCTTCAGAGTACGCATCCACGCGGCTGAAAAGGCACGCCTGAACTGCGGAAGAATGCGTTCGCACGCGAAAGATCAACGACATGATGTGACGCAGTGCTCAGGTACACCTGCTCCCGACCTTGGCGAGGGACCCGATGGCATCCGAGGTGACAGGGCGTGCACCAGGAAGCAACTAAGTGACATAACAAAGAGCGGCTCCCCAGGAGACTCTGAAAGACCAAAAAGGAAATAGCGCTCTGAGAAAGCTGTGCTGCCGCATACCCACTGCAGCACAAGCAATGGTAGTCGCGAAGACGCCCAAGAAGTTTCCGTGCAAGGAGTGCGTGAGTAGCCCAGGGTCTGTCGGGTATGAGCGAGACCGTAGGCAAGAGAGCTGACGTCGTCCAGCACCGTGCAAGAATAGTGTCAGAGAGCCCAGGGTGTCTGCCGGGCATGAGCGAGACCGTGATGGGGATCTGTCTCCGTGCGCGAGGGGTGTCAGAGAGCCCAGGGTGTCTGCCGGGTATGAGCGAGACCGTAGGCATGCGTTCGCACGCGAAAGATCAACGACATGATGTGACGCAGTGCGGAAGGTACACCTGCTCCCGACCTCGGCGCGAGACGCGAGGGCCAACCGAAGATGACAGGGCGCGTAGCAGGAAGCAACTAAGTGACATAACAAAGAGCAGCTCTCCAGGATGCCCTGGCGGACCAGAAAACGTGGAAATAGCGCTCCGAGAAAGCTGCGCTGACGCATGCCCGCTGCAGCACAAGCAACCGTCCGTTGTCGCGAAGAAGCCCAGGAAGTGACCGCTCAACAAGGTTGAGCGTGGGAGCGACGATGGGGTGACGTCAGTGTGCGCGGATCCTTGCGGCGAGCGGTGCACCACTAGCCACAGGTGCGGGCGCGGCCTGGGCCAGCCGCTGCCAAACTGTGGCAAATATTGCACGGGGGCGCACCTGCGACCCAGAGTCCGAGCACGGCCGCAGCGAGCTCCGGGTGGGCAGTCCAGCCAACGAAGCGGTGCGTACCACAACCACGGAGACCGCCTGAGCAACGTCGAGACCCACTGCCGATAAGCCCAAGCCCAGGGTCGCTCCCAGGGAAGGCGGAGAAGCGCGGCTGAAGGCCGAAGTATCTTGGGGAAACCCAAGGATAAGGCTGCCCGCTGGAGGGCCGGGTCACGGCCACACCAGGAGAAGCCAGAGTGAAATAGGGTGCGGTTCTGGACAGTGACGAGGCGAAGCCATCTTTGCGTCGGTCACACTGCCGCGAGGCCGGGGGGGCGCAGTCCGCCGGGGCCAGAGGTGAAAACAACTACAGCGGGGCCAGGGGCCAACTGTGGCCTGCACGCAACACGCCCCAGCGCTGCCATGCAGACGGTATTGCTGGCAAGCGCACTTGGGTCCAAAGGCAGGAAGTGCGTGCACAGGGAGGGCGGCTGAAGGCCGCCACACGAGTAACGTAACCCAGGGAGGCAGCTGAAGGCTGCGCAGAGTGTGGAAAACGGACGCTGCGGGGGGGCGGTGGGATGCCGCCGAACGAGTCTGGTGTCTGAGGAGCAGCTGAAGGCTGCTGTTCTTGAGAGAGAAACCCAGGGATGATGAGCGCGATCAAGGACTGAGACGTGGCGGAGTACTCCGTCGGTCACGAAGCCGCGCGGCCGGGGGCGGATCCGCCCGGGCCAGAAGTGAGAACAACTACAGCGGGGCCAGGGGCCAACTAGGGTCTGCACGCAGCACTCCCCCGCGCTGCAATGCAGATGGTATTGCTAGTCGACACACTTGGGTCCAAAGGCAGGAAGTGCGTGTACCAGGGAGGGAGGCAGCAAGGCTGCCACGCGAGGGAGAGAGCACCGGGGGCAGCTGAAGGCTGCGCGAAGTGTGTAGCACGGTCGACATACCTGTCCCTCTAGGTGATGGGATGGGTGGGAGGGGAGCTCAGTCGCCCCATCGTTGCATTTTTTCCCCACGCTCGTCGGGCCTGCCTCCACCACGCTTGCCTCCCGACTGCCAACGGTCGTCGTGCCAGCCGGTGGCCCAGTCACTCTGCCAGGTGCCCCAAGCGTCCCAGGAGCTTGTCGCCCGCTCGCGCCAGCTGCTCTGCTGATGGTTGCCCTTACCCGTGCCATCGGGCCGTGTGTGGCGCAGGTACTCGGCCCGCACTGTTGCCAAATCGATGCGGAAGTTGAACCTCCTGTCCATCAAGTAGGCGTTGCATCCGCAACCCTTCCAGTCCTCCAGGAACTTGTTGATGGTCGCGTCCGAGTGCAGCCTCGGGTCTGACTTGGGTTCCCTGGACCCAGGGAGCCGAACGCCTTGTGTGTAGGCTGTCCACAGAGCACAGAATACTCCACCCAACTCTATTTGGTGCCTGGTGATGCGCTTGGCGGGTGTATCTCCGCGGCGCTCCAAGTCCACGAAGCCCAACCAGGCCTTGTACATGGGGCCCCCATGGGTGTCGGTCAGCTGGTTGAGTGTGTGTCGCTCCGCTGATCGAGGGTAGGTAAGCCTATGGCCAGGTGCCTGTGGGTTACGGAGTGGGGGACGACGACCCTGCTCATCACCCCTGTCGCGGGCGACTTCGTCATGATCTGGTCCCCTAGTTCCACTGGCATTTTGGTCGGTGCTGGCTGAGCCCCCTACGGCGGCTATCGGGTCGCGGTCGGAGCTGGGTTCTATGCTGTCTGCCGCTGGGCTCTGCTGAGGCGCCTTGTCGCCGGGGCCTTCGTCGTCGACCTCCGTGGCCAAGCCCGAACAGGATCCAGGAGGAAGAGACTCTTGGGGGCATCCAAAGTCGGCTGAATCCGCTTTTTCAATAAGAGGGATTTCGTCCTCACCGTCCTCGTCCTTGGCAGCGTGGTCAGGCACACTCGGGTTGCCAAGACGCGTGTCGTCGTTCGTTGTCTGCACGTGCGACTCGGCAAGGGAGGTGATGGTTGCCGAGGCCAGGGCGTCGGCACTGAGGCTGAGTAGGAAACTCGTCAGCGTGCCCATCTCGTGTCTGACGGGGTTGAAGCCACTCGC